TTGATGTAACAGTCTGACCACCAGTCAACCAGCATTTACATTTTTCCAAAAAAGATAGGTTTCCCTAGATTTGTGTACACCTGACTGGATAAATTGTAGTGTTTTGTTTGTCAGTAAACCATTTGTTGTGTGGACATTCACATCACTCTGTAAGCAGTGACCATTTTGTGTTACATGGTGATTGTATCTTTACCTTTCAGTGCTCAGATGAAATGGCGGCTCAAGTTTTGTGTAGTGATGCACCTTTTGCTGTTCATCTTGATGGCAGCGAAGTTGTCAGCAGACGTCTTAGACAGGCTGGACATATTTGTTCTAGAAATAGAAGAATTAGAAATACCACAGGTATGTAAAATTTGATGACATTACAGCTGGTCATCTTGCAGATTAAGTTGTATCTTGGTAGTATATATTATGGGATGGTACATCTTGCAGGTCTTTAGATCACTGCATGGAGGCAAAATATGTGTGATTTGTTTGTATGTTCTGATCCAATGCAATGAATCATTGCATGCAGCCACATTTGCAAATGATTTGAAGGCAGTTGCACAACATTGTGTGCCTTGATAGTGTCAGGTATAGGATATGTCAGGATTTTAATGTTCTTTAAAATTTGAACATTTTAGTAGCTTTTGTTGGCATGATGAGAGCAGTTCTTTGGCAATTACTTGAATTGACTTGTGTTTTCTGGTTGTTGCAGGTTTCTGTATATCTATACTTATGTTTAATATGCTGCTCCTCATTTACAGCCAGTGAAGTGGGAGTATCTTTGGGCCTTCAGCATCCTTTATTCATTCTGTGCTCTTTCTGCATGCAAGAAAAATAGCATTTTCTACTTGCAGGTATACATAGGTAAGTTGTGCCAGTATTTTCATGTGCAGCTGTTTTGTGTGAGTGGTCAGTCAATGTCTGTAGACAAATGGATGAGGAAATTTTGGATTGTGATAATATGTCTCAACAAGGCTGTGATGTTTACCTTGTTGATAGACTTGCTATTGTTTTATTTCACAGTGTGAAGATAGTTTTGTGCAATATTGTGATGATCTATGATTTAACTGAGTTGTTCCATCAAGGGAAACATGTTGGGATCATTTGTATGGCAATCACATTGATGGCAATATAGTAGATTATCCACACAAGGTCAGCATTTGTTGCTTGGGTGTCACAGTGCACAAGGTGCCTCATCTTCCCAGTGGGAGGGATGCAAGGCGAGTGTTGCCAATACTTGAATATCCACAGAAGTAGCAGAAACAGTGGAATAGAGCTAATAATGAAGGGTTAAAAGTCCTCAGGTTCAGGACTCCAACAGAGGTAAAAGCACACTCTTCTGGGCACAAGGTGCACAACATGCTGATGCTGATGTGCTTCTGAACTAGGTCTCCCACTGAGCTGGGCCTGAGTATGGCCATGTGCTTTTTGTAGCTCTCTGGCCAGGTAGTTCAGGAGAAAAGTAAGGCTCTCATCCACAACACCTGACAGCAAGAGCATCATGGCATATCATGGGCTGACAAAGCAATAGAACATTTTGTTGAGTTGATCAACTCTATTAACTACAACTTGGACATAATTCCTGAACAGTCTAAAGACCACCTGGGACCTGCATAGCTTGCAGGGATTTGGATGACTTCTAACAAAGAGAAGCAAAACTCCAGCATTGTTGCGCACAGCCTCTCAGAGGGTCAGCACCTGTGCTCCCCTTCTCTTCCCCACGTGGGGGCGGGTTCGATCCCGGTTACAGCATGTCCCGTGGGCGCTCGTTTGGCCACTGCGGTCGCTGGCGATCCATGGAAGGGTGCGTGATCTCGTCCACCGCGTTTGGTTTACGAAACGCAAAAAAAAACTCAAGGAAGCCCTGTGCTCCGTTAAACGCCAGTTTCTTCTTTGGAAATTGCACGCCGTAAGCGTTCAAGGCCAAGTCCCTCAATGAATAACGCTTTAGTTGTCCGAAAAAGAGTGGTCATCAGTGTCGCCACTGTGGTCGCTGCTATCCTCAGGGATTGGTGCCGAGCCGGGTCAGTCAGTACTCGTCGCGAAAAAATTGCGGGAGAGCGTTACGGGTGGCCCAACTTTTCGCATACGACACTAGCTGTACCGCGATATTGCTGACCAGCAGGAGTTTGAGCAGCTGCGGCCCGCCCTGCATGTGATGGACGCATGGTCCGGTGGTGTTCTCCCTTCAAGAGAGTGAAATCCAGCACCTTCCGCGTGAGCACCACAAGTCCCTTTACGCCTACAACATGCGCGACATTTGCATTCCGCAGGTCAACACCACAGGGACTTCGGGGATCATTACTTATGGAGACGCGAAGCTCCTCAAATGAACATCAATAGCGGCCTCTAAGGCCAATCGCTGGCATATTAACTGCCGGGTTAATGATAAGGTTTGCTGTATACATGACGCGACGTGAAGACATACCTGACCATGAAGCTGCTGTTGGAATTCCCGAACCTAAAGGACCTGCCCGTGCCCTGCCAGACCCCAGTAAGACCTCATATTTTGGAATTGCTCTGGGGCCTTTCAACAAGGAAGGCCAACAGCTCCGGAAGGACCTCGGCAAGGTTTGATATTCTGGAATTTCTCTGGGGTCTTTTCAACAAGAAAGGCCAACGGCTCCGGAAAGGAACGCAGTTACGGGCAAGCATTGCTCTGGTCCAGAACATTTGCCGTGTTTCGGAAGACGCACCCCAGCAGGCACGCTGACTGCCTTCTCCGCAGCACAGGAGGCAGACGGGACGAGACAGACAACACGCAGACGGAAACATCGTCAAGTTTGTCGTGCATCGGCGCATTTGTGGGAGGAAGGAGTCTCCCTGTGTCAACATGGTTAGAAATCTGGCGCTGAAGGTGGCCGAGTCTTGGCTCCGCTTCAGACTGCGCAGAGACTACTTCGGATTCATTCGGCTTCATGACGGTTTCCACGATTGTGTTACGTTTTCTACGATGCTTTGTCACAGATCAGTGCATCTCGGTGATTCGTGTGTGAGCGCGATAAGGCGGGACTTAGCAAGCTTCAGAGCCTTAAGAACTCCTGGTCGCTGAATTAAGTGAGGTTATTTAGGTCACCCAAGCTTTTGATTTTCATGTCGATTGACGCTTTGTCATATCTCAGTGAACTTCAGTGATGTGTGAGAGCGATGAGATGGGACTAAGCAGGTTTCAGAGCTCCTGGGCGCTGGATTAAATGTGTTTTTAGGCCACTCAAACTTGCGTGAACTGAGAATAAGTTGCTTCCTTCTTGTACTGATTGGAGAAAACCAGGGAGCCTTGATGCCAAAAGTCCCAATTTTTACGCTTCTAACCACACAGCAAGCTCAGTCGTGTCATTAAATACCTTGGCCTTAGGCTACCGATTTGAAATGGATATCTTACTGTATATACCGTTCTCCCCAGATATTTTATATTTCTACATGACCGGTCTCAGCGAGTATAGCGGTTGCTGCGTTGTTCAGCGCGCGACAGCTTGACAAGATGCAACGGCAACGCCTTCTTTATCGGTGTGTGAGGGTCACCGGTGGCAGGACAGTGGGATCTGCACTGGCGTACTGACAGTTCGGCCCTCGCCCGCCAGGTGGCATCGCTACGCTCGGCCTGGCGCCCGCCTTGTTCGCCTTCGTCTATTACCTGCCGGACGCGTACAGCTTCGTCTCTACCGGCTCCAAAGAGAACGTGTTTCTGTGGCAGGTGGGCACACGCCGGGCGGCATGATCAACCTCACGGTGCACCGAGCTGTGTCACCGCAGCGGGCTGGCCGGTCGCCGATCCTCATTTCGGCCCGCTGAAGCTGCGTTGCATACGGACGACTGTGTGGAAATAGGCTTTGACGCGAGCTCAGGCCGCTAGACGCCCTGTGTCGTTTTTGCATTGCCTTGTTATTCCAACTGTGTGGATCTGGGTGGATGGATTCGGTGTATAATGTGGTGGAGCTTGACTCGGCTCTTTCTCACCAGATTCCGCGCTGATTGTAAAGAAAGCTATCGAGTGATGTCGTTCGTGCCGTGTCACGTATGGTCACAGCTGCTGTCCCTCTTGCGGGGCGGTGGGACGAGCAGCCTCGGGGGTCCGCTGTGTGCTGCCGATCGACCAGTGCGCTCTGTCGGCCAGGGCCAGCCGTACTGCATGATGAACCTCGCCTTCTTGGTACCGACGCTGCAAGTGCACAGCTTCGCGCTGTACTTCAGCAGCCGCCTGCTGACCGCCTGGAAGGCGCGCGGCTCCAAGAAGGCGCAGTGACCTGGTCGCCGACCTGCCGCCGGGCCGCCAGCCGGCCGCTCGCGCTGACCTGCCGGCGGCGCCCCTCGTCTGGTGACGCGCACAGGGCCCGGGCGCTGACACGAGCCGAAGGGCCGGCCGGCCGTCTGCGGCGCTGGTTTGTAACGTCCGGGTATGGCTCGGGGAATTTGCATGATGTGAAGAACGTTGAAACGTGGAAGCAGCAGGTGCTGAGATTGCCGTGGCGGTCGAATGTGAGGTCATCGTGCGAGGCACCCGCGGGCGAGCGAGCCGATGTGTTCTGCCCTCTTGATGCGGATTGCCGGAATCGATATTGCGGCCTTGAACCAAGCCACTTATGTTGCGTCCCGGTTAACATCTAGTCAACCCTCCCTGGCACTCCTCACCCCTCGGAATCAGTGGAAATCACTTCGTGCGCCGTATCGGCCAGCTCTTGTTCGATTCGACTGGGGCATTTTCAACTGCGAGCCACCGTTATTTTCTCTTCGAGCGTGACTTCGTCCACAGTTCCTCGGACCCGACGGATAACAGCTCAACTGTCCGTTACGTAATGCTAGGAGAGTTTTTATAACATATTTGACCTGTGACAATCACGCGTGGACCTGAGCTTGTCGAGAAATAAACATGTTTGCGCACGTGTTGTTTGCTTTGGGGTGAGGATCCAGCGTGACTGAACTGCAAACTCTTAGTCCGATGCGCGGCCTGTATCCAAGCATGTTAATGTTGAAATCTGATTATGTATTGCCCAGATCAATTTTACTATTGAAACGCTTTCGTCTTCCCAGGAGTGTCACATTGCGTCGGGAGACTGCAATAGTACTAAATGGAGACGCTCGATCTTCCCAGGATCTGTCAACTGCAGCCAGATGGGAGGGGGGTGGCGGCGGCGCGACGCACCCATGAAGAGTTCGCTGGCGAATGGTTCGGGAGGACCCTGCTCGGGGCTCCAAAAGGCTTGGAGGTTGGCAGATGTCGCTGTGCTCGCCGGGCAGCAGGTGGCGCTGCAGCGTTCCTTTTTTATTTCTTTACTCCTTTCGGCCTCCTGGCTAAGTGCAGACGAGCTTGATCCGATAAAGATGGCCCCATCTCCACAAAGTAAACTGAAACGAGTGAAATGTTTAGGAAGCGCCATAGTGTTCTAACACTTAGATGTCCGATTAATCTATTCCCTGTAGCTTCTCCATGGAGTACGAGATCGGTATTAACCCGTGAGCAAGTCAGACTAATGAGCGTTGGTGTTTTTCGGCGGTAAACCGCATGCCCGTCGATAATGGAGACATGACGGGATTCTCCTTCACATCTGGCGAAGGGAACACACCTGATTGCCTTCCCATGTGTGTAGCATTTCGGCTACCACAGCTCGTCCGGCTCGGAGTTCGGGCCATGGTGTTCACGCTCCTGGTCCGCGGGAGCTGACACCGTCTGGGGAGGCCGTCAAAACGCTTAGCGTCGACATCCGCCGCTAAGTGGATTGCGTGGATATTTACAATTGTCTTTCGAACAGCACACCATGCAGTGGACTGCTCAACAGCCTCGGCAGGGTGTTCAGAGTGACAGAGATACAGTCGCTGCGCTGGTCCCGGTTTACTCGGTGGTTTTCGGGACTGCTTCGGCTCCGATTGGCTATCTCCTGTTGGAAAAAACAGCCTGCTTAGTTAGCTGTCTACGAGATCACTTGGCTTAATATACTGATGCCACTGACGGTCTGCTCGGTAGTGCTTGTGTATATATATTATATATGTGTGTGCTTGTATGTATATGCATGCTTGTAAATATGTATAAATGTGCATATATATGCATATATATATATATATATATATATATATATATATATATATATATATATACATATATATATATATATATGAGACCACTCACGGTGCCATCGGCACCAGTAATTTAACGGGTGCCCAAAGTTCACCACACAGCTGTTTGTAGCGCTGCTTGGACCTCACTCTCCCGTCAGTTGCTCGCATGACCACTCATGGCTCAAACCTGTCGCCTTCTTGTGGCACAACAGAAAGCTTCTGATTGCGCCGGCTGTGCGTGTGAGAGGCTAAGCTTAAAGACCCGTCAGCCATCTCTGGGGCTGCCCCGCTCCCATCGGCGGACTGCGGGTCCGCCGCCGCCTGGATGACTGATGATCTACCGATGGCGGACGTCTGGGCGTCTGTGTGACTACTCACGGTCGGGCCAGGGGTGGTGGAGGGCAGCTCGCCGTTCATCTGGTGCCACAGCTCCGTCAGCAGGGCGAACTTGGAGCCGAGGTTGCAGACGCCACGCGAGTCGTCCAGGTCTATCGCCCACACCATGGCGCCGGCCAGGCCGGTGCGCCGGATAAACTCCGACTGACGACAGCAGACCACCCACGCCCGGTCACTCGCCGGCAGGCTGGCGCCAGCCCACATCACCCCACCGGCCAGTCAGTCTCGTATCCATCCATCACGTATCCCATCCAGTCACATATTATATATCCCATCCAGTCACGTACTGGATGGGAGACTGCGCCCAGGTTCGCAGGCAAGCCGACCAGGAGCAGGGCAGTTGGGTAAGATGGAGTCAGGCACCTTCTACGCGAGCCGAAATTGATTGCCGTCTGATCTAGGCCATAACGCTTTCTGAAGAATCTTCAAGGCGTGTTTGATGAGGTGCGTTATCAGCTACCCACTGCCAGCAATGCCTTTCCGTACCGGAGCTCAGGAATGCCATTTTTATGGCATGCCTCGCGTGCACCGCTTTATTGGCCCGGCTGATGCATCGTGGCATAGATGATAGGCATGCCTGATACACCGAGATTGTCGTTATCAGTTTCTTTTCAGGGACGGCAAGACCGCGTCAAGTAGTGCGGCACCAAGCATGCTACGTCGCGCAACGTAACGCCACGCTGCCAGGCAAGATTGCATGACGGTGGTAAGAAGCGCTCCTTAGGGAGAGAGAAGGGGCGGGCCCAGAAGTTTTGGTCTCAGCAAGCAAAGGTTTAGAAATCGTTTTTCATGTCTTAAGTGCTCCTACCAGCTATAAACAAGCCACAAACAATTCGAAAATGCAGTTTTTTGTGTGATTTTCAGTTTTTAATGTGGGGCATTCTCTATTTGAGTCAAACCTAGCGGGAAAGGCCAGTATCCAGTCGCCATGAACAACATCGGTCGGGCTGTTATCATAGTCGGTGATGACATGGTCACGGCGGAATCACGAGGTCCATGGCGACGCATCCGGCCCAGCAGCGAGTTTGTAGCGCTAGCCTCGGCACACCTGATGCACGCCGAGCGAAGCGATATATGCCGACTAGTGATGCATCGCGATGCAGCCGAGCGTGGGCCGACTCGGGATGGCGGACATGATCACCACGTCCTGCCCGACCGACTGACCTTCAGCCTGATGGTTTCGAGGTTATCGTAGCCGATCCAGACCTCGTCTGTGTAGCTGTAGATGGTCTTCTGCTCGTCATCGTGTACGTGCGTCCAGCCGGGCTTGGTGAAGTACAGCTCGCACAGCTGACGACGAAAGCGGAATCCATGAGGGCCGAATACTTACAAGCCCGCTTGGCGATGCTGGGACTGCTCGGCGCAAATTGTCCAGGGAGGGATGGTATATATTGCATCAAAAAGCGACGTAATTCCCAAAAAATGTCCAGAAAAAGCGATGCCTTGGATACGTGACAGCACTGTGCCTGAAATAAGAAGCCGGCACGATCGAAAACTAGAGGCATCCCGAATTATTGGATACCGGTGTTTGTCAGGTCTCTTGGTGCACGGTGGATCCCCGAAGGATGTGGTTACTGGCTCTGAGAAGAAAATATGTGCGCTAAGATAAACGCACAAGTCGCCTTAGTGCTAAGTTGGCCCCAAGTTTAAATGAAACTCGAACCTCAGCCTGATGCAGCACGATATCGGACAACAAATATGCAGGCACTGATGGAGCACAGATGTAACATTCAAATGTTCTACGGTAACGGAATGTGCTCAAAGTACACCGCTGAAAAATACGGGTCTGGTTAATGCAATAGGTATTCATGCATCAGTACTTTTGTTTTTCTGAGGCCGGCCAAATACGCCTTGAGCTCTACAGCTGACGCATCGGTTTTCTTCGCAATCTCATGCACTGAGTGCATGTTTCAGTGACCTCTTTGAGGACAGCGCCCAGCCAGAGGTCAACAGACACTTCTCCTGCGAGGGCGTCGGGTGACAGCGCGTGGGCCGGGGATACCTCGTTGAAGCCGCAGTCCCCGGCCTGTCTCGTGTACGGACAGCGAGGCATGGGGCCGCTGACGGGCGCGTACAGGCCGTGCTGACCAGGGCTCTGCAGACTGAAGCCGTTCCCGTGGAAGGGAATGCCCACGACAACCTTGGAGGGGTCGGCACCGCCCTCCAAATAGTGGTGGATGGTGTAGTTCTGCAACGGTCAGACACCATGTTGGGGGAATGCATCGAAATGGCGCATGTAGACGACCCTGGTCGTACGTAGATCATTGCGAAGGCTATCGTATAAATACGGAGCTGATTCAGCCTTGCTGTCTAAAGCGGATCGGATCGATACCTAAGACTAAGCCCTGGGCACTTCTGCTTGCTGTAAAGGAAACACCATGCCACGAGGACAGTAGACTGCCACAACATAAATGGGTCGATGGTGACGCCCAAGACTAAAGCAAACACTGCCGGGAGAATAGCAGACTGCCACAACACAAATGCCTCAACACCTAAGACTAAAGCAAGCACTATGCAAGGAATACAATAGACTGCCACGGCTACTACTATTGCAATCTGATTGATGTGTTTGACGTCGTGGGGCACGGTGCCATGCGCCACTCATTAATGAGCCTGTTGCACCAACTGCTCACCACATTGTAGAACTGATAACCGTTGCCGTGCTGTATGTCCAGGTGGGACGCGTACATTGGCGCCACGTGGCCCGTGAAGGGCTGCCATTTGCCGTGGTAGTTGTATGCCATGACATCGATCAGGTCCAGATATCTGCGAATGTTGCGAGGTGGGAAAGTTCGTGGCGTGCATGGTGCATTCTGTTAGGAAAACAGTGGAAACAATACATGGCGTCCATCCCGCTTCTGACGATGGCCTGCAGCCTAACGTCACATTTAAACAAATAAACACATATATTATATTTTCAATTCGCGGCGTAACTGGCCGAGCGGTTACGAGCGGAGGTGCACAGCCAACACTGCTCATGGGATCGTGGCTGCCCCCTCCTGGTAAGGCGTCCATTTCCGCCATTGGCCTGGCCGATCTGACCAATACTGTACTGTGCACCCGCGGCAAGCGCGAAGACTACTTTAGATCTGTGTCACGCCAATACATAACCATTTACCAGCGCGTGCACCCTCTCGACGATTTCGGTCTCCGGGCAGAAGAACATCAGGCATAAATTAGCTTAGTAAATGCGGTAGCTGAACGCGCTACATTTATCACTGAACATCGCGGACTCGTCATGATTTCCTGGGCGTCAGGGGCACCATTCCCGGTGTCATGAGGCTGCCGTGGGACACTGTGTCGTCGGCGCGGTGTCAGATATTTAAGACCCCGCATCGTTGGACCATCTGGGAAATGTAGCAGCAGAAGCGCGGGCGGAAAGTATGAAGTTATGTGCCCATGGGGGCTGGGATATGCATGTGTACAGTTTATGTTCCGGCGCTACCTCAGCGTGGGAGTTACCTCAGCGTGGGAGTTACTGGTTACGGCGCTGCCTCAGCGTGTCACTTGCTATCATGTGGTACACCTGCCATGCGAGAAACTTCACTGGTATTTAGGGACGCTAAAATGTTTTAGTAGATGCCTTGGCGGGAACGTGCTCCGCGACTGACAACGGACCGACGTGGTAACCAGGGCCGCCACCGTAGAACAATATTCCCAGCCGCGGACTACATCGGCATCGCGCATGCATCGTGGAGGTCGTCTGAGCATGGACTGATAGCCACCGATACAACCCTAATATGAACTGGGGCACGCACGCACGGCCCGTGTAACGTGAACTGGGGCACGCACGCACGACCCGTGTAAGATCCTTCCGGTCTGTCGGATGCCAGTCAAGGCGACGCACACAGGTGGGGTGGTAGTGGGAGGACAGTCAAATTCATTTTCAGTTTGTGCACAATGTAATGTCGAGCATCTTGCATGCTCTCGAATAACTCCATTACCGCATATCATGATGTGATGAACCATTGCATAAACTCATGCTATGTGTTATCCAACTTGCCATGCAAGTGAAACACGCGAAGAAGGCGCCAAAAAGAGCTTGTAGTCTACCTGCCGTACATAGCTGGCGTTGTACTCACTTCTGTAACGTTGGGATATCGTAGCTCGTATCTATGTTGTGTTTTCCTGCCGGGACGGCTGCTGTCAGCAGGTATCCTTTAGGGTCGAAGACTTCCCGCAGTTCTTTCAGCAGCATGCCATAATTGGCCTGTATGGTCACGTAATATTTGGTGTTTTCAGTCAAGTTGATTTGCCTACGATAAAAACGCACGTGGCTGCAGCACACAAGACGGCTTTCTCCCAAATCATTCCATAAACATCGACGTGGAATGTCGACATGACAGGCTTCACAGCGCAGAGTTCGGACACCGATGACTGGAAGAAGAGGCGAAGACGGTCGTCTCCGCAACCACTTGCCTCAAACGTTTTGTTGAAGGCATCCGTGCGTTCGCCGGGTGTTACCATTAGCATACCCTTCATTGCACGCTTGGGAGATGGGCGAGGGACCCGTCACGTCAATTTCCGTTTCTTCCGTTTCGTCTCGTGTCATTTGTTCCCATCCCATCCCATCTTATCCTATCCCATCGGGTCCAGTCGGATCCAGTGTGGTACACCTGCCAACTCTAATCTGGCCCGGTCAGGTCAGGTCAAGGCGGGTCGGGTCATGTCAGTCCAGGTAAACATAAGTTTGTCTGGGCAAATTAAGATTTTGTTGGGTTAGATTATGTTTAGGCTACGTTAGCTATAGTGAACTGAGGGAGGGCTAGCCCTGGAGGGAAGTTTTGTTCGTGGCAGTAGTAACGAGAGATGAAGGAGCCTCACTGTAAACGTTTTGTGGTGTAAAAATTTTGTCAGCGGAAGTTACGTGTGGCGGATTTGTTCGTGCCAGCTACCGCACATCTTGTAAGCTTTCCTGTAGCAGTCGTGACATGTTACAACTCTGTACTTTGTGCATGCTACTGCGTAGAAGTTCCTGCCCGGGAAATTTTACCCGTACGAGAAATGTTGCGGCAAGGCTTGCTGACAGCAGCTTCGATGTGCGAGAGTAATGTCGCGGAGCAGTTTGTCAGTAGCAGTCGTCCATTCACAGCTTCTTTACATCGGTATGTAGATATGCGTATATTTGCGTGTCATTACGCAGCTTTGTCTGGTCGCGAAGCAGTTGGTCTGTGGCAGTCGTCCGTTCATAGTTTCTTTACATCGGTATGCGTGTATGCGTGTATCTGCGTGCCAGTACGCAGCTTTGTCTGCAGATGCTTTGTCGCGCAGAACGCTTCGCCACAGACATTTTTTTCTGTGGAAGTAGTGCCCGGGAAGGCTTTGTCCATGACAATTCTGCCCCGAGGGCTTATGTTGCGGAACAGCTTTGTATGCAGATGTCCTGTCGTAAATCTCACGTTCATGGGAGCTTTGAACATAGGAGCTTTTATGTGAAACCCGATGCATAATCGAGCATGTATGCAGCCGCGTACATCAAAAAAATTTACGTAAATTGTTCAGTGCATCAGCGAGGAACATTATTCGCATATATAAGAAAGTAGTATTGGCCTTATTCCTCGGAAAACCAGGAGAACAGAGATATAGTCAAGCTGATATTTCGGCAACATGCCTTTCTCGAGACAATAGCAGAAGTGAATTCACTTCGTTTTTGGTTCGAGAAAGGCATGTGGCCGAAATATCAACCTAACTTTATCTCTATTCTCTTGGTTTTTCCGAGGAATAAGACTAATACTGCTGTCTTATAAAAAATTCGTTCATTTAAAGTTTCGCCTAACTTCTTCTAGGCAACAAAGTTTTCCTGTGTGGTAAATATGCTCCTCAAGGCGTCATGGTTTGATTACGTCATCGCACCATGCACAACACTGACTGAGAGCCCAATGACGGCCGTTATATTTGGAAATCGTAATCACAAGCACCAGTTATGAACGACTCAACAATTATGCTTGCATTGGCCTTGATCGCCGCATGGCTAATGGTATAGTCAATTTTGAGCAACATTATTATGGCGTCATGGATGCCCGGGTGGGCATAAAAAAGTTTTTTTCCGAAATAGTCTGCACATCGTCGCCGGCGTATAGCTCAGAAACTAGACGGGTTTAGGCCCTAAGAAGGGCTGGGCAGTGAACTGCACCGAAGGATCTTCAAGATGGCTTATTCAGTCAAAAAAGCCTACAAATGTGGAACACTCTTTTGAACTTAATACCTTATCGTCGCTGGAGCCTCCCTTTTGTCCAGGGTATTCCCAGTCGATGTCAAGTCCGTCAAAATTGAACTTGTCCATGTACTCCATGACGCTGTCGATAAATGCCTTGCGGTTTTCGGCACTGGATGCCATCTGAAACGACAACGACATCAGAGGAGCATCAAAGGAATCGAGATTTGTACTAAAACGAGTAGGAGTTATTTTTCACCCCAACGAAATGAGAACACTTGGAAATTGCCACGTTTGCCCCAGTGCTCCCAGGACATTATGATATGGAATACGATGCCGTTGTAGTTTACGTGCCGCCAAATAGTACCCGCCTCACGTTGGCTTTGTTTTGGGGCAAAAACTTTACGGAATTATTACATCATACAAGTAAGCTCACGGCGAAAAGAAACATAGCATGTTAATGACGGCAGCTTAGTATAGCTGTATGCATTTTACTCGAGCATCATTTTTTGGGAAGGTTGAGCCGGCTTAAATCAGAACAGTGCTGTTGGTTGTATTGTATTCTGGTAGCGACTGCAAAACGTAACAAATAGATTATCGGAACAAAAAATAGACCATAGAAGGGACTGTTATGCTGCCTATTTAAGGTTGAACGCTCAGCAGATGCCTTTCTTTTTTCACTATAAGATGTGCGTTGTGAATGCAGACATTTAGGGCGCTCACATGTGAAAACTTTTTGGAGCCTTCATGGTATCCTCCGACAGCCAGCAGAGTTTTCAGGTCCGGATTGAGCTGCTTCAGGTTTGTAAAACGGGTGTACGCCCCTGTGAAGACAGTACACGCCGTGCCGTCGCTAATTGCTACCATCGTATCGCGCTCACAAAAAAAATGCATGCAATGAGCACATTTTCGAACAGGCACATCACCACACAGGGCGCTATTGAGCCAAGGGACTGAGACAGACATTATCTTATAGATAAGACAGTACCTAATACCTCGCAAATGCGCTTAGCAACTTACAGGCATTATCTTACTGACCTCTTCCGCCACCGTCGCTGAAGTCATTCTTTGGATTCAGAGACATGATGTTGTGGTTGGTATCGTTGACGCCGGCGAAGGCGTAGATCAAGTGGGTGCAAAGGCTGGGGTCGATGTCCTCCACATCGAACTTGCCATTGCCGTGCCTGTTGAAGGCCCAGCTTTCGAAATAGCAGACCACCTTGTGCTGATGTGCAGTCGCTCGGTCTGCAGAAGAGACACGACGAGAGACCATGTTTCATCACTGACCTGTCCGTGCCCATTGAAGACAACATAGGCTTCACGCCTTGAGATTGCCCGGAAAAGTGGAAATCCGGCTGCCCGTCTATCTGTGGGCACAAGTTTTCGGGCATGCCGTCGGCGAAACCGACCGGGCCAGTCTTCACCAAAACTCCACCGGCTGGTGCGTGGTGCCGGTCTCGGCGCGATCGGCACCACATGGTGCGCGTCACGTGCGGCGCCCCCAGGTCTGCAGAGGCTTTGTTGTCGAGGCTGCAGGTCATATGACGGAGCGCGGGCCGTTTCGCCTGCGCGACTTTGGCCACTGCTGAGGCTCAGGCTCATCATCCTTCAGCGGTGCCGGCGGCAAGGTGGGCCCGACACTCCCGTCGGGATTAGTGCTAGGACCAGGAGTCTAGGCTGGGGCCCCATTACATGGGTGGAATATAGTCTACACTTTGGCTTACACGGGTCGAGCTCCTGATGTTACAGTATAGCCTATCGGCAAGTCGGCCTATCCCAGCCCCTGTTATCCGGTGACAAGTGCCAGTGCTCTGGCTCCGCACGTGCAAGTGAGTTGCACTCACATATCCTTCCCCTGAGCGGGAGGCGGTCCACATCTGAAGCGTGGCACACTGGTCCCTTAGGATAGGATTGTGCACACCGGTCCCTTAGGATATGAGGGGGTGTGGCGCACTGGCTACTTCGGATCTGATTGACATGCGTGACGTGGCCCAGCCTGGTTAGGGTTGAGGCCAGTGATTGGTCGCGGGCAGACCCGCCTCCTCAGCAGTTGGCTGACTGGGTCAGAAACGCAGTGAACTGAAACCTTCGTTGGGCTCTAAGAGCATGTCAACCCCAGCAATGACCATATTTGGTCTGTGTACAGCCAGCAGCAGCTCCGGCAGCAGCACACGCACCTTTCAAGGAATGGACGAAAGATGTTGATGACAGAATGAGATGGAGACGCCAAATTTGGTGCACCTCGTAATGCTGACAGCTGCCCTGTGTGATCCGTGGCGCACCTGCTCATGTCGGGTACCCCTCTTTTTGCCATAGGCGGGCCTGTCAAGCCGATGTGACATTTTCCCTATTCATGCATGTTCACGAGGTCTCAGAAAATGTAAATATCAAATTGTCATGATAAAATCAACAGATCGCAGCGAAATATGTGTGGTTTGTTGGAGTAAAGCCCTTGTCGTGGATAACAAATGTGCGCACTGACTGGGGCTCTGTTGATTACTGAATAAGCTGCAGAATTTGCTGCGCCTTCTGATGTTCGCAGCTGCCGTGTGAGCGTGCACATGTTTTTGAGGCATCGGAAAGCTCACGGTGAGGGTGCCTGCGGTGGGTACTGCTCTACTCCCGATGACCCGGCTGGGTACTGCTCTACTCCCGATGACCCGGCTGGGTACTGCTCTACTCCCGATGACCCGCGCTGGGTACTGCTCTACTCCCGATGACCCGCGCTGGGTGCTGCTCTACTCCCGATGACCCGCGCTGGGTACTGCTCTACTCCCGATGACCCGCGCTGGGTACTGCTCTACTCCCGATGACCCGCGCTGGGTACTGCTCTACTCCCGATGACCCGCGCTGGGCACTGCTCTACTCCCGATGACCCGACTGGGCACTGCTCTACTCCCGATGACCCGGCTGGGTACTGCTCTACTCCCGATGACCCGCGCTGGGTGCTGCTCTACTCCCGATGACCCGACTGGGTACTGCTCTACTCCCGATGACCCGGCTGGGTACTGCTCTACTCCAGATGACCCGAGCTGGGTGCTGCTCTACTCCCGATGACCCGACTGGGTACTGCTCTACTCCCGATGACCCGGCTGGGTACTGCTCTACTCCCGATGACCCGCGCTGGGTGCTGCTCTACTCCCGATGACCCGACTGGGTACTGCTCTATTCCCGATGACCCGCACTGGGTGCTGCTCTACTTCCGATGACCCGCGCTGGGTGCAAGCTACCTGGGATAGACCAGAGTCGCTAGCCTATCAGCTTACGGTTTTGGTGGCTATGACGATACGATGATAAGCGTTGCCATTGTCGGCGTTGTGGTTATGGTAGGTATAGCAGTCAAGCAGAACACCGCAGTGAATGTAGTCACAAGAGCTGATAACCTACCGGATCATGGTTAAAATAGTTATGACGATATAGTGATAAGAGTCGAGATCCCAGCGGATTAGCGCTACAGCAGTTATCGTTTCGAATGCATGCGCGCAGCACGAGCATATTGCGCCTGTGTATCGTTGCGTTAAAACTCGTTGACAACAGGCACGGGTGGCGAACTTTGAATGACATGTTTCAAAACGTTTCGCTGTCAGATGAATAGCGCAGTCATGAAAACTCCAATCAACATTATGATTGCAGCATGAATGTATTGATACCCTTGCGTTTCGGGACCTCGATATAACAATGTCTGGCGAAAAGACTACCAAACTGCTTAGACGCCATTCTTGCTCCCTGTCCTCGTACCATCATGGGTTCTGATTTGTGCCCTAAAACAACGCTCAAATGCCTTGGTCTGCCTCTAATTCAAGTTCCAAAGTGGGTAAGGGTATGCTTTGCTCGCTCGCTATTTGGTGCACCAAATTTTGAAAACGGCGCTCAACAGCGAAAATTTATACTCGAGTGTTTGTAAGTCCACCTGTTCGTGGGCATAAGTTTTCGGACATGCCGTTGGCGAAACCGGCCGGGCCAGTCTTCACCAAAGCTCCACCGGCTGGTGCGGGGTGCCGGTCTTGGGACGATCGGCACCACATGGTGCGCGTCCCGCGCCGCACCCCGAGGTCTGCGCACCATCTGAGGCTGCGGTCCATAAGGCGGGAGCGGGGACCTTTCAAGGCTGTGAGCACGGTCACCGACGAGGTTCGTCATTCTTTGGGGTGCCGCGTGGGTGCCGGTGGACACCGATACCTGGTATACCTGTCAGGCGCTTGTATAGCTTAAGCTGGGGCATCTCCTGGTTGGGAAAGTCTATAGTTACAGGCACAGAATCTGGCGCGCGGCTTGGGTGCTGGCATAAGTATCCGGCGCCACCATAATCTTAGAGTACAGTCTTATCCCACTTTGAACCAACTGCCAAAATTGGTAATCACACCACCAAGTGCCTTGGTCTGACCATCAACTTACACCTCAACATTTACAGCAAATAGTATCAACATATCTTGGTCATCCTCACAAACATCTTGCACAGTCAATAGAAGTATTGGCATCATCACAAGAGCCAGATATCTTGTTGACACATGTGTCGTACAATTTCGTAGTTCTATCATATGTCCATTATCGTGGTCTTGTCTGGAGTGTTCATTATTATTTCAGATAAAACGTATTAGTAATTCTGTTTAAAAAGACGCTTAGGTTAATCAAAAATAGATATCCACCAAATAGCTCGTCACCAATCTTCAAGCACCACAAAGTCCATGCACTTTGTGATCTCGCAAAGTTCCCGATAATCGCTGCATTACATATTTTTTCGACCAACCAAGCTCATGAACTGCGGGTGCGGCACGGCGTAACCTGCGGGTGAATGTAGATGCCTCCCTTTCCGTGTGAGGAAGGCGTTGGCACGTCCGGGGACGCGTTTTTTTCGGGGCTTTTGCTCCCGTAACCCACTGCCGCTGAACGAGTGGCGTGCCAGGCGTGAACCTCTGCGCACCACGTCCTTGGAGCACTCCAATCTTGTCCACACGCTTGGTTTGTGTGCGTCTGGCGTCAGCAGTGACTCCGCTGCCGAAGACCTGCTCACCTATGTGCACCTCGGGCGGGTCGCGTCGATACAGGGTGTGCTGCAACCGCTGTGTCGCCAGACCCTCTCTGGGCTTACATTTGTTGGTTAGGTAGGTGCATTGGTCAGCTCACGGAATACATGCCCGCTTTTGGTACCTGCTTGCATCCTTTGGTTCGTGACTGGCACTCCAACGGGAGATTGCGCCTTTTCAGTGGTGTTATCATTTGAATTACTAGCTGAGATGTGAATCGTTAATAGGATCGAGCTACGTTTTAAGGTAAGAGGTGAACAGGGGGTAAGAAGCTCTCATGTATGGTTTAAGCTATCAGAGTGTCGAGGCAACAAACCACGTTTGCTCGGAAGATTTGCATTTTGGAATACGTCGCACCGTGTGTAAGGGGCACTGCACGTGCAGGTTTAAGATACACAAATGTAAAACATTATTTTGTATTACCAAAACGTACTAAAAATTACGATTGGCACATGATGGCTTTACAGTAGAAGCCACGTTGCAACATGATTCTCGCATGTCACAAGACTTCCGGGCTATCATAGCAGATGTACCAATAAAAAGAAAGGTTCGATCCTGGAAAACACAAATTCGCTGCGGACAGGGCAGCGCGGCACACCATGCAACTCAAAGGCTTCATAGGTGCGTGATATTGGAAGAATCATTGAAGTTTGGAGGCTCATAGATGTCACTGTGGTCTCTACTGAGCAGGTGGCGCTGGGGTGTTTTTGCACTCGTCTGAGTCTCCTGGCCACACACAGACGAGCTTGACCCGGTCAAAAATGGCTCCATCTCCACAGAGGAACTGAAACACATCATGTAAAACGTGATTGGAGGCGGAATGCTATCATACCTTCATTTGTTAGTTTGAAAAGTTTGGTTTTTATACAACTCGACATCTATCCATCAATAGCAGGATAAACACTGACGCATGAGCAAGTCTGAAATGAGCATTGGTGCTGCTAGCTGTGGCGTCGTTGTCAACTCAGTGGTGCGAGGTACGCTCTCTCTTTGTGTGCTGGAACGCACCTGAGTGGCTTCCCACGTGTCCCCGTCTTTGACGCACTCGTAGAATATTGGGGAGCACAGCTTGTCCGGGTCAGGGTTGAGACCCGGCTTTTTGCACACGTGGTCCGGCGGGGCAGGCGTCGTCTGAGGAGACCGGCAAAACGATAAGCATCAACATAAACACATGACTTGCATTCTGCCGGTAATTGCAATGTACGTTTGCAAACAACGTGAAATATCACACATCGGTCAACGATACTGACTGTTTTCAATGTAACAAAAGACAAATATTTAGGTATTTCTGGGTCAGTAAGCGTGCCTTGTGAAGCTTGCAGTCCTGTAAGCTCTTTCTGATCCCCCTTAAGTTGACAATCCATCCAGATGTCTGTGAGACTACGCTCCACCAGTGGGTAATCACGCTCCAAGTCACCCACTGCATGACTCCTCACGCTCTGCTTCACCGGCTGCGAAAATAGCCACCGTCCGATCCGCTGTCTGCGGGGTCACCACCCACGCTTCTCTGAGCGATGTTCACTACCACACACTGCCTCATCCGCAGTCAAGTGGCACCACTCACGGTCGGACCAGGGGTGGTGGTCGGACCGGGCGTGGTTGTCGGCCCGGGGGTGGTAGAGGGCAGCTCGCCGTTCATCTGGTGCCACAGCTCCGTCAGCAGGGCGAACTTGGAGCCGAGGTTGCAGACGCCGCGCGAGTCGTCCAGGTCTATCGCCCACACCATGGCGCCGGCCAGGCCGGTGCGCCGGATAAACTCCGACTGACGACAGCAGACCACCCACGCCCGGTCACTCGCCGGCAGGCTGACGCCAGCCCACATCACTCCGCCGGCCAGTCGACAACTCCAGTCACGTATTGGTTGGGTGGCCGCGCACAGGCTCGTGGAAGAGCCGGATATTAAGACTGGGACCCGGTCACGGGGGGCGACTTCCAGGTGGGCTGAAATTGTGCGCCGTCTAACCCGCTTTATTGAGGCTGCATTGTTTTCTGAAAGGTACTCATGGGCTGTTTTCGCAATGCCATATCTACCACCCATGTCAGCATTTGTCCTTCGTATCGATGTTCCGGAAATTGCCTTCTATTATGGCACGCTTCACATATCATACTTTATTGGCTTGGCTGGCGCAACGCTCCATAAACCGGTGGGTATATCTAATGTCAACGACAAAGCTTTTGCTCTGGGCCGAAATTGTCGCCATCGGTTCGTCGTCGGGAATAGCTACGCCACACAATGTCACGCCTCGCACGCAATGTCGTGTTACGTTTCGCTCCGTTATAAATCAGTCTGTGATCCTGGTCTGCGTGCGCTTAGGTCTTAAAGTAAAAAGGTGTTTAACGTAGTTCAGATGTTTCCTTCGGTCCGACGCAAACCAACGTCGCCACTTCACTGCCCAGCCACTTACGAGGGAAAGCATAGCCATGTTTGGTCAATATTCTACGCATAAACACGTCTACAGATACGCATGAGGCGCATACGGTCTAGATTGCAAATACAGCGTTCTGAAATGTTTGCCAAATGTCTGAGGATTCCTCTTTGATTTCTGAAGCTTTTTTTGTGTTAAAAAATCCCACATAACCTTGTGTTCCGCGGCATGATAACCCCGCTGATGCACGTGGTAAGCTTTTTGATGGCACAGATGCCTTTTAGCATCATGCCCAGTTACAACCAGCCTTTCGCACTCATCGCGGACGTTTTTGTGCCAGCATCCAAATGTGCGGAGGCCATTTTGCCCGAACAAGACAGAATGGGCAGAATCCTATCCGGTACTAATGGACCTTCAACAAGATTGGTCAGACCGAAGTATATTGACTATTGCAAGCCAGGTCATTGCCACGGCGGAACTATTGTCGCGATCTGTCTATCGCCACGCCTCGGGCTATTGTCATGGCGGCGTCACTCGCTACATCGTGACATGTTCCGACTAGCAGCTAGTTTGCAGCACTGGATTCGGCGTATCGAATGCAGTTGACACATGACTGAGAAGACGACTCGGAACGACAGACATGTTCACCACGCGCTGACCTGATACTGACCTTGACCTTGATAGCGGCGAGGTCGTCATAGCCGATCCAGACCTCGTCTGTGTAGCTGTAGATGGTCTTCTGCTCGTCATCGTGTACGTGCGTCCAGCCGGGCTTGGTGAAGTATAGCTCGCACAGCTGGCGACGAAAGCGGCGCTCCGGTGTAGTGATCCATTAAGTCCGCAAAGTGACGCAGTAGCTCGGTACCAGTCAACCTTGTGTGAACTATTTCATTTAGGGTTTACTGGCGCGTTTGCCACCCTGTATTGATTGTAAGCGAAGAGCGATGATACATCCGACGATCGGATTAATATGTTTGCGATAATTCAAAGCAGCAAAACTCGCCTCGGATCGTGCGATCGTAGCATATGCTAATATGTTGACTTCCAGATCACTGATGTAGTCGCAAGTGTGGACAAAGGTAACTAGTTATCTAAAATTGCATGAACTAACTTGTTCCAACTGATCGCAATAAAAAGGCTGCATAGAGCTAGCGTTGAAGGTAAAGCTGTTTACTACATCCTAGATGAGCAGTTAAGCGTGTTTATAAAACAAATACTGTCTCCAGCCGGACCATTTTGAAGGATTTGCATGTCACTGAGTTCGAATACGGTTGCATGCACTTGACTATTGCACTGACCATTTAAAGGTAGTGGATATCCAGCTGCTATCGCAGCGCAAGCTATCGGAAATTTGTGACCCTGCATCACCTTGCATCGGCATGAAACGTGTTCTGAAATTGATTGTGACGTCATTTTGATTAAACTTAGCATGACCTGGGGCTTGATGCGACGTGCTGGGGCTTCGGCATTTGAATTGGAGCTAATCAACTAGATGAATACCAATACAGGCTTAGAGAAAGAAACACAACGAGAAAAGAGAATCAGGAGGGGCCAGTTAACTACGCCAAGCAATTTTTGCACAGATATAAGCTTGAAATGCCAATGTAACGTGACGTAGGACCAACCAAGCCTTTTAACATGCGCATTTAACATAACATGCCCGGGTGGTCGGTTGGATACCCTTCGCTCGGGAGGGGAAGTCAATTTGACCCTCCCTGAGATCTCAAGAACTAAGAGGGCTAGAGACACCAAATTTGCGGAGTGTGTTGGCCTGTACGTAAACTCACTTAGGTCAAAGTTTGAGATACCTGGTTGTGGCCTTCGGGTCAAATAAGGTCAAACAAGCCTAGTGTCCAGGTTGGTCTCCAAAGGGCACTTGGAGCCTAGATAACTGTTCTAAGTAAATGTCACATGCTCATATAAGGTCAGTGGCCTTGTATGACCTTTCGAAGGTCATGGTGACCAAAATCATACAAGACTGTTTTGAGTTTTGCATTTGGATAAGCGACAAAGATTATGCCAATCAGTATGTTCCTAAAAATTAGGTCTTGACCTGGGTCATTCTAGGTCAGTGAGCCATTTTGACCTTTTAAGAAGCTGATATAAAGTATATAATGCGGTTTCTTTTATCAGTGAATTCGAAGTGAGCATCAAAACTACTCCATACAGCAAGCCCTAGAGTGATAAAACAGGTTGCTTTTGATGATGATCTGGCCTTCACACCTGACCCTAGGTCAATGAAATGTGTTTATTCAATTGTTTTGTTGCCTAAGAAAGTATCTGAGAGATGCATGGTTTCGTCTAACACTCCGTTGTTGGACCAGATTGAACGATTCCTTTGAAATTGCCTTTGCTGAAACCATGGTCTGACTGACCTGCCATAGGTCAGCGACCTTACAAGGTACATCTAAATTGTTGTTGTCAGACAATCCGCTACTCAATCATCTATAGCCATGCAAAATGTGGCGTGGCTATGCCGCGCTGTTCTGAAACTATTTTGGGAAAACCTTTGGGGGGAGTGGGTCAATCCGACCCTCCACCTAAGCGTATGACATGACAAAATGATAAACTATACGCAAGCTACAGACCTGAGATAGCGTGCATAATCCCCAAACCGGCTCAAAAGCCACGAATTATATGTTGCCCGTCGACTTCGCGTCATTTCGATGTGACTTAGCATGATTTTAGCTCCAAGTTTTTGACTCATCATATCTTGAGCAGTCGTCGGCGTTAGGAAACTCGCTAAGCTCTTAATGACCTTTTAGCAGATTTATAGCAAAAACACCGAAGGAGGGTGCATTGAACGCCCCGCACTACGTCATTAGCTGGCTCAGGGAGGAGCGATCCAATGAGATCCAACGAGGCATTGGATAGGCAATGCCCCAGTATGTAACTGTCCCGTGTATGCCAAAAAGGCGGCACGGTCTGAACGTCAGACTGGTCTTGTTGGATTTAGATCCAGGCCATTTGAGATGGAAGGGCGGAGTCAGCCGGACTGAGAAAGAGAACATCCATCCTGAGATAAAGGTTCAGCTCCACTCCACGAGGTTCACTGCAAATTTAGATGGGGGGAGTAAGACGGCCGGTAGTGATAAGCGTGTTTTACGGGCATGACATATGCAAACGCCTAAGACAGCAGATGTTCTCTCAACATATCTGCAACTTCTTGAAACACGCATAAAGCGGACTACATAACATGTAGGTTTTTAATCCAGAAAGGGATGGATCATTTGATACACACCACTAGAGTGAGTTGCGATGCATGGCGACTGTGACGTCGTGCGATGACGACACCGACGACGAAACAGCTCGCACCCGTGTTTGCCGAAACGCACTTGTCATGGACGGATAGCCGGTGTATACACACAGAGTACTACGATTATTAATAAACCGATCTCTTCGCCAAGTGTCATGTCGAATGATCGACTATAGCATTCCTTCCGTCCTGAGCACGATTACCACCGTCGTTGCCCGTCGCCAGTGGGGTAAAGCTAACCCAGTCTTACGACGCCTTGTAGCAAAGACATGGTTTCATGTTTTTTTTTTTCATCGAAACAAAAACAATTTGTGGCCTCAAAAATAGTTTTCGAACTCGACAAAGCTAAAGTGAGTGCATTGCTGCAATTTTGCGTTCAGTTCTCGACCGCAATGCCATCAGTTAACACGCTGAAACCACCAAATGACTGCTAGAAGATTCTCGCTTTCCTCTCCGCCCGTGTTATGTCAGAACCAATAAGAAATGCAGCGCAGAGAGAAATCTTCTGAAAAAGAGAGACGTCTTATGAAGCAAGCTGGCTGTGTAGCTTTTGACTCTGGAAACTAAAAATGCGGTTTTTGCTATACCTTGACGACCATATAGGAATAAACAAAACCAACAACGAATTTCGAGCGTACCGCTTTTCTACCTCTTCATTTCTATCTACCTGTCTCCTACCTGTCTGTCTGTCCTACTTTCAGCCAAACGGTTTCAAAGATGGCGGCGAACTTTGCACGCGCTGCGGGTTCAGCCTTGAGAAGATCCAGGACAAAAGTAGACGCCCGTTTTCCGCGGGTGGCGGCCACATTACCCCCGAAACAGGGCATCTGCTAGTTTAAGCAGGAAAACGTTCATCGAATAAAGCCCGCTGCGTCAAGGACGGCTGATATCACCAGCGCACTGTTTCCCCCACCAGGTACATGATCTGGTTCCCACTATGAGCACAAGCACAGGTCAGTGGGCAAGATTCCCTGCTGTGCCCGGTGGGCGGGGGAGGGGCGCTGTATCGGCCACGCATGGGTGCAGTCCTACCTCGTAATAGCCGCAGTCACCGTCTTCCTCCGTGTACGGACAACCGGGCATAGGGCCGCTGATGGGCGCGTACAGGCCGTGCTGACTAGGGCTTCGCAGCTTGAAGCCGTTCCCGTAGAAGGGAATGCCCACGACAACCTTGGAGGGGTCGGCGCCGCCGTCCAAATAGTAGTGGACAGTGTAGTTCTGTAATGGTCAGACGCCACACTGAGACATGCATCGAAATGGCATGTGCAGACTATCGCGAAAGTCATCGTGCACTTCTGAGACTGCTCCGGCCTTGCTGGCTAGCATGGCTTCCAGTCTTTGTCGGTGGAAGATGGGCTCAATGTTTGCGATTGAAGCAATCATTGCTGGAGGACAGCATACCACTACGACTACTATTATCAGGTCTGATTGAGCTGTTTGGTGCATTGGGACGCGGCCCATGCGTTATTCAGCCGAGTACACGACGCCAGCTGCTCACCACATTGAAGAACTGAAAGCCATTGCCGTGCTGTATGTCCAGGTGGGACGCATACAGGGGAGCCACATGGCCCGTGAAGGGGTCCCAGGTACCGTGGTAGTCGTACGCCATAATGTTGATCAAGTCGAGATATCTGTAAACGGTGCAAGACGGTGAAGGAAAGACATGCAAGGTGTATTTGGTGCCAGAAATCACTGCAGCCGATCACCCCTATGTGTTGTTTGACGACGGTTTTGCAAAAGCGTGCCAATCGAATGATAGTCTATAACGTTTTGCTTTGAGGGCAAAGCGTAAATGGCCGACTGGCCTGGGGCGCTGCCATTGGGATCGCGGCATCGGGCTGTCCTCGTTCAAGTGTGACATTGACATTTGACATTAGCCCTCCCATGTGACATGACAGTGACATTAGCCCTCCCAACGGGCTAATGTCACTGACCCTGGTTTCCCCCGGTGGTGAGAATTCGTGTCATCCACCTTGCGTATTGCATGTATCGACAAACATATAAATTTTACTTGTTGTCACTGCATGCATGAGCTAAAGTCTTGATCAAAATACAAGTATTTTGAAATCTTACAAACAGTTAGGCATGCTAAAAAGCTGCTCTTTGACCCCATGACATCCCCAAGATGAGGTATGTTTTTATAACGAACAGGCTATTGGTTACAACATAAGTCCACTAGACACCTGAACTGCCATTGCATAAACTAATATGATCTGTTCTCGAAACCAGCGTAACTGATCAGAACACACTGAGTTGAACATGACAAAATGATTCATTTTTAAGACGTTTTGTACTGCGGCTTGCTGACCTAAAGATCAGCCATTTGTCAGTCTTAGATGGAAAATTTTGATCACATTTTTTTACCTCCCGTCATGGTACAGAACAATCGGTTACCAACAGCCATACGAATATAATATGGTATTTTTCCGTATGAATCGCCCAACTCCTGTTAGTTTTTACAAGTCAAGGCAAATCATCAAATGAGCATCTAACAGCGGCATCAAAAAAGGGGAGTGTGGCGTCTACCAGTCCTGCATGGCGTGTGTTTTCTCACTTTTGTAACGTTGGGATATCGTAGCTCCTATGAATGCTGTCTTTTCCCGCCGGAACGGCCGCAGTGATGAGGTATCCTTTCGGATCGAAAACTTCTCGCAGTTCCTTCAGCAGCAGTCCGTAATTGGCCTGTGTTGTCATGCAGCAATTCATTTTGTCAGACAAATATGCCTGTCTACGATCAAAAACCCCGATGCAGCTGTGCATGCACTATATTGCATACTTCTGCTACGTACGTACATCTGCAAATATTAGGCACCCTCCACAACTACTACTACACAACACATAGCTGCAGGCAAAGCATCTTTCTTTCAACTGTGCTCCACAGGAATCGAAGTGGAGGGCTAACACGACGCGCCTCACAATGCGCGGAGTTTGCTCCACAACAGGTTCTGGGAGAAAAAGCAAAGACATTCGCTTTCGCAGTCACTCGCGTAGAGCATTTTGCTGCAAACACGCTGTGGTTACCGAAAGTAGCCTCAAATATGTATTCACTGCAAAGTTTGCAAGATGGGAGGGAGATGGTGGTAAGATAGAGCGAAGATGTCATAGCATTCGCAATCGGTGATACTGCTTGGCAACCGAATAGCCACTGGCTGCGACTAAGAAAGTGGCCGACGCAAATTGTGGCCTTGGGCTTTGCATAAGCGAATATACATATAGCATACCTATACGCCTATGTGCGTTCCAACAGGTAAAAACGTATCCTTCCAATGCTAGTATTGCACTGCCTTATTACCTTATCGTTGTGTGAGCCTCCCCTCTGTCCGGGGTATTCCCAGTCGATGTCAAGTCCGTCAAAATTGAACTTGTCCATGTACTCCATCACACTGTCAATAAATGCCTTACGGTTTCCCGCACTGGACGCCATCTGAAAAAAACAATCACATGTAAATAGCACGGACTGGACCGGGCCTACGGTGCAAGTGCTGAAATGCTGTTTTTCCTAGAACAAGCAAAAGTGATTACCACTTTTGCGCTCAGTTATCACCCATAACGCCACGACTTGAAATGTCGTCACAATGCAGGCGCCACCACGGTGGCACTGGACTCTTACTGGGATCGTGTTAAGGGTAAGACTTGGCAGAAATAATGCAGCACGAAATAAAGGTCCCAGCAAAAATTATTAATATTATAGGCGAGAAAAGAGTGGCACAATGTTCGGCGCATTCAACCCAAACACACATTTGTCAACCCGAAGAAACAAGTTTGTCCAGGACAAGCCCTCAAGCTAAAACGACATTATGTCGTTGCGTGTGGTCTTGGCAATGATAGCGAGGACGTTCAAACTGTACACCGATACTGAAAACAATGAAAATGAGTACTCCAAAGCTAGTCAAGCATAATGATCGACGTAATGTGTTTGGCAATTGGTGTCCTACAAGATGAAGTACTTTTGAATGAAAACGCTTCAGCACTCACATGCGAAAACTTCTTGGATCCTTCGTTCCATCCTCCGACGGCTAACAGGGTCTTCACGTCCGGATTTATCTTCTTCAGGTTTGTGAAACGGACATATGCTCCTGTGAAAATGCCACGTTGTAGCGCACTGGAAACACGATATAACGCGGCAGGCACAACGCAAACGTTATAAAATAAGACAGGATAGTATGTTGCACAGTTCATGGTTACCAACTTAAGCTGAGATGCGGCTGCTCTGCTCGATAGCGCCTTTGTTTGCACAACAGCGCACTCCAGAGCGCATGACACTGGAGCAGGAGCCCTTCGCGCTCACATTGTGAAGGCGAATGCTGGTTTGCACTTCAAGCCCGGTCAACGCGCATGTTTCCTGTATTGGCGGTACTGGACATGTGCAATGTGCACCGTGTAAGAGCGCGTGACTTTGTAACGCGTATAACTTTACCTTAAGCCACGAATATTTTGACGCTGGGTGTACTAACCATGTTATTGTGAATAATACCTCAATGGTAAGTATAAATGCAAATGTAAACACACTTGGGAGGGTGCACAAACGCTTGCCCGCAGCACGCTTCTAGGTACGACACGGGACCATGAACACATCAGTGCATCATTCATCTACCCACCCACATCCATAACCCTTCCCCCCGCCCCCCACACACACATACGTGCATCCAAAAGCGCACATACGTCCGCACACGTAAAACAGTATCAGACCCACTGGGATGTAGTCGGGTTAGAGCAGATGAGGTATGTGAGCACATCGTACGTTACTGAGCCCTGTGACCGATGCTGACATTATCTCACTGACCTTTTCCACCGTCATCGCTGAAGTCATTCTCCGGATCCAAAGACATGATTTTGTGGTTGCTGTCGTTGACGCCGGCGAAGGCGTAGATTAAGTGGGTGCACAGGTGAGGGTCGATATTTTCCACGTCAAATATGCCTTTGCCGGGCCTGTAGACGGCCCAGCTTTGAAAATAGCAGACCACCTTATGCTGATTCCCTGGCACTCTGCCTGCGAAGAGGTCACGACGCACAGCGATGTTATCGGATGTCTCAATGTAAGTTAAATTGTCGCCAGTATTGTGCAATGCAAACTGTTGAAGGTCACCTTACACACCATAAAAATGTCTTCTTCGGCCAAGACACTGCTCCCCGTTAAATGCACCGGCTGGTTAGCACGATGCAGATCTGCGTTGTATAGACTAGTCATGCTCACTGCACTGGCTGGTGTGATAGCTTGACGCCCAAAACGTAAATCGCACCTTATGGTACTGTAGGATACAGAGTCGAAATGCACGAAATAGCTGCAGCTTGGCACGGTTTGTGATGCTCACTGATGGGGCAAAGTGCGGTCAGGACATGTCAGAAAACTGCTTAGAATAACGCATTAGTTTTTCTGATGTCGGTTGGTTTTTAATGCCGTTCGGCGGCGGCGTAAATCTGCAAGTTGATGCCACGTCAGCTCCCTCACGTGTGATTTGTATCCATTTGAAAATTGGCCGCAGCACATTTTTTCACTTCAAGCCACGGATCATTTTGTTGCTTGCTGCTAAAGATCACTTAACAAGCTTATCGAAGTTATCCCCTTGTTAACCGTGATAGCAAGGACGGTATTTTGAGGAAAAAACACGCCAGGCAAACTGTTAACAGATTTGAAGCACGCCAAGGCCTCAACAGATACCAAAATGACTGTTTGTAGTATTATTGCTGCAAACTTTGGTTTCCTTACTTTTGTGATCTGTATCGCTGTCGAAGATGTACACTGCGCTCAGACTTGGCACGTCAGGAATGCACCGAATCCGGACGACACTGCTGCTCCCCGCACCGCAATATACTACAACCGCTCTCGGAGTAGCACTGGTCGCGCTCAATGACGACCGCTCACTGGTAGTTCACCACCGTTCGCCAACCGCTTCACGCATATACACCCGTCCTCCGGCGGCGCTCCGGGCCAGGCTCGCATCCGTCCAACCACGGCCGCGTATCAATGGGACGGCGCGCAGTTTCGGGGTGCCTACGTTGCCGCTAAACGCACGCCCGTCTCGGGCGCCGGCCCCGGGCAGATGCGTCCGTACTGGAGCACTCCGGAACCACGAAAGGTCACCACGTGATGGCGCACAGGGCGAATTCCCCGCGCGGCTGGCGTACCCCAATCACGCGTAGCAATGCATACCAAAACCGCGCATAACTGTGCGCATTATACGCGGAAAAGCGCTATTCGAAATCCAACTGCTGCAAATTTCGGCGTCATCAGTCAACTCAGTCAGGCGCCATGGCTGAGAAACACTGCATAGCGGCAGGTACGTGGCCGCATATTGTGCGTGCGCGTGTGCGTGCCTGAGTGCGTGCGTGTGTGTGTGTATGTGCCTGCGTGCGTGCGTGCGTGCGTTCGTGTGTCCATGAATTTCGGAGGCGAAAAGAGATCTCAGATTTTTTTGCGCTAGAAAAGCGTTATCCATCAGTCTTGTGTTGTGTCTCACTCGTCTCACTCGTGTCTCACCTGCACAGCCGATGAGAAGGCCCGCCAGCAGAACAGACGCCGTGCTCAGCTGAAGGTGGTTCATTGTGGTCAGCCTAGAAAATAGAGAACAATCTCAGCACTATTTTTGTGCGTTTAGCCAGTGCATTGTTCAATCGCTACCGTTGTCGTAAGGCACAATGCAAGTTATAGCATTTTGGCATTTTGGCAAAAGCGAATTGGCATTTCGGTTGGAATGCGCCTGCTATAGGACTACAAAAAATCTGGCATGCAGTCCTTTCACAAACATTTTAATACTGAAAATCGTGTCCACGTGAGACCCAGCTGATATTTATATAGTTCATGTACGTTTAGGTAGCTGAAGTGAATAGAGCTGGTGTAAATTAAAGTGTTTGAGCCTACCGGAAAGGCTTCTAAATTTGATTTCCAGGATGAGCACTGATTCTGTTTGAATAAATTGACTTTTTCCAGCCTTGGCAGAACAACAGTAGCCATGCAACTCGACACAGTGTCTTTAACCAATCTCACTGTAGAAGCATCGCCTTTATCCTTGACACGCTTAAAAGTAACACCGCATGTACTTCCGTATTTGGAAATTCCACTGTTCTCTCATGCGGCCCATTTTAGGTAAGAATATAGCGAAATAATATCTGGATGTCTGGAGGATATCTGGCATGAAAAAATGATGTAATGTAGATAAGAAGAAACCACATAACTTTCCACGCATTTGATTGAAAAAAATGATGGTTGGTTGGAGCGAATCCAGCAACGAAAACCGTCCAAGCAGGGCAATTCAAGCTGAAACTATAAGACGGTAAACAGTAAAAGCTGGCGATACATAAGCCGAAGGCGACGAGGAGAGCGAAGGCAAAAGCAGCACGGTTTAGAGCTCCCTGAAGCAGCACCTACCAGCGACGCAGCCAGCGACGGCACCGCAAGTCGCCGCCGGAGCTCTCCGGAGCGGTTCGAGTGGCGCAGAGGAGGAGGAGTCTGCCGCGTCTGGCCGACCTGTCGCCGCGTGACCACCTGCAGGCGAGGCTCGCCCCCGTCTGGAGGTCTCCCGGGCCCGTTCACACCCCACCGCCGACGGCGGGGGCTCGTCTGACGGCCACCTGCAGCCTCTCTCAGCCCGCCGCTGCCAGCCGGAGGCAGACGTCGTCTGTGGTCTCCCAGGCCCTGCCGCGCTGCGGAGCCGTGGGACCGCGCGCGTTGACTGGCGCCTGCAGAAGATGCAGCGAGCGACCGCTGACGGGACCGCCAGCATCTGGACTGTCTCGGATCTCAGCAAACAGCCGCTGGCGGGACCACCAGCACCTGGACTGTCTCGGATCTCATCGAACGGCCGCTGGCGGGACCACCAGCACCTGGACTGTCTCGGATCTCACCGAACGGCCGCTGGCGGGACCGCCAGCATCTGGACTGTCTCGGATCTCAGCAAACAGCCGCTGGCGGGACCACCAGCACCTGGACTGTCTCGGATCTCATCGAACGGCCGCTGGCCAGCACCTGGACTGTCTCGGATCACACCGAACGGTCGCTGGTCAGCACCTGGACTGTCTCGGATCTCAGCAAACAGCGACTGGCGGGACCGCCAGCACCTGGACTGTCTCGGATTTCACCGAACGACCGCTGGCTAGCACCTGGACTGTCTCGGATCTCACCAAACGACCGCTGGTCAGCACCTGGACTGTCTCGGATCTCAGCAAACAGCGACTGGCGGGACCGCCAGCACCTGGACTGCCTCGGATTTCACCGAACGGCCGCTGGTCAGCACCTGGACTGTCTCGGATTTCAGCAAACAGCCGCTGGCAAGCATTTGGACTGCCTCGGATCTCACCGAACGACCGCTGGCGGGACAGCCAGCACCTGGACTGTCTCGGATTTCAGCGAACGGTCGCTGGCCAGCATCTGGACTGTCTCGGACCTTTGCGGACAATGGGCGCAGGTGTGAAATTTCTGTCCGCGCCGCTGAACAGGGACGCTTGTCCGCGCAAGATACGAGCTGAGGCGCAAGCACCGCATATCGTGCTCCCTATTAACGCTACCAAGTGACATGACCTTGCTGTGCTGGGATGTTATTGCACTTTTATCTGGGGTCGTGTTATCTGCGGGCCTTGTGATCGACCTCGGCGGCAGTGGTGGTGGTACGGGTACTCGCCTGCACTTTGAGCGCTCCATTGTCTATATGTTGCAAGTTCTGGCTCTGGTTCCCCTTTTTCGATCTGGTTACTGGTGCAGCTAGCTGTGGCAGAGGCAAATGTCGCGCAGTGATATGGACACAAGAGAGGATGGATGCATGACATACAGGCATCATAACCACCACTTTGGAATAAGTCAACTTCAGGCACTTGTAAATACCACATCCATAAGTTTGCATCGCATTTTCATGCCTGCTTCTGCAGTGCGTCGCGCCTCGTGGTCGGTGGAGGCAAGGCTTTTGGCGCGTGCTAAGCAGCCGTGCTTCACGAAGTCCGCATCCTGTCTTCCTCGTTGAAACTTGTACGGCTTCGTCGCCGGACATTGCCATAACCTGGCCGGTGCTCGCCGCTTCCTGTGCGCTCAACCTCCCCTGATGGGCGAGGCGCACTCGCGCCGCTCTTCCGCGCGCCCCAGTTGCTCCTTCCGCGCGGAAGTGCGCCTCGCGCGCTGCGGGTCGGGGGTGGCGTCGGTTCGGCAGGGACGCGGCGCGGTCGCGGCGCTCCGCTCGTGGCCAAGGCCATCAGCTCGAGCTGCCGATAGCGTTCGGAGGGGGGAGGGGGACGCCGTATCGATGCCTCGCGTCACGCCACGCGGGAGCGTTCCCCTCCGGCCGTCGGTCCGCTCGCAGCAGCGGTCACGTGACGTCTGCGAGTGTCTCGCGGCGGGTGTCCGCCGGACGTCACGGGCGGGGGCTCGCCGGCCGTGTCACGGGCAGCGTGCGGAGAGCGCGGCTTCGGCGGGTCACTCTCAGCGTCCGACCCTCCATTATCTGCCTGCGCTCGGTCGATCTCGCTCGATCCCAGTCGCTCGCCGTGCTCGGTGGCCGACTCCGGCGCGCCCGCTGCCGCCGCGTCGCTCTCGACGTGCGGCGGCGCGCCGGCGGCCCGTCCGCGCCGGCCAAGGCCGCGGCGGCGTGCGGCCCGCATGCGGCCGCCCTTGACTGACTTGCGGCGCTCGCGGCGCACCTGGGCGCGGGGCAGGTCGCGGCGCCCGCGCCGAGCCGCCGGCGCCGCCGGGCTGCGCCGCATCGATTGCCGCCCCACCATTGTACGGCGGCGCCGGCGCCTGGAATCGATAGCGTGAGCGGCGCGCAAGGCGGCAGAGCTCAGACGTGCCGCGTCGCCTCGGGCGTGCAGGTGGCTCTGGCGGCGGCCGCCCGTGCACAGCCGTCGGCGTGACAGCCGTCAGTGTGACGGTCCGGCCCGGTGACAGCCGTCAGTGTGACGGTTCGGCCCGGTGACAGCCGTCAGTGTGACGGTCCGGCCCGGTGACAGCCGGCAGCGTGAGAGCGCGGCCGGCACGCCGGCGTCGCATGCCTGGCATCAGCCATCAGCATGTCCCTGCTCAGCGTGACAGGTAAGGAGAGAAAGCCGCGACCGTGTCCCTGCTTAACATGACAGGTAAGAAGAGAAGAGCACCAGCATGTCCATGCTTAGCGTGACAGGTAAAAAGGGAAGGCCGTCGGCATGTCCCTGCTCGGCGTGGCAGGTAAGGAGAGAAGGCCATCAGCATGTCACTGCTCGGCGTGGCAGGTGAAGAGAGGCCGTCAGTGTGTCCCTGCTCGGCGTGACGGTTGAGGAGAGGGGCCATCAGCATGTCACTGCTCGGCGTGACAGGTGAAGAGAGGCCGTCAATGGGTCCCTGTTCGATGAGCATGGAAGGAGAAAAGGCGTGAGCATGTCCCTGTTCGGCGTGACAGGTGAAGAGCGACCGTCAGTGTGTCCCTGCTCGGCGGGCAGGGGAAGAGAAGTCGTCAGCGTGTCCCTGCTCGGCGTGACAGGTGAGGAAGTGAGGCTGTCAGCATGTTCCTGCTCAGCGTGGCAGGTGACGAGGACCGTCATTGGGTCTCCGCTCGGTGTGACATTGACAGAGATGCGGCCGTCAGCACGTGCCTGCTCAGCGTGCTATTCGAAGCTCAGGTGATATGGTTCTCCGCCTCGACGTCCAGAGAGACCAGCGCTAGTCGCATCATGGTCTCAGCTGAGGGAGGGTGCTATGTCTGCCCTCGCCGTGTTCACTTCTCAGCAGAGGGAGGGTGCTATGTCTGCCCTCGCCGTGTTCACTTCTCAGCTGAGGGAGGGTGCTATGTCTGCCCTCGCCGTGTTCACTTCTCAGCTGAGGGAGGATGCTATGTCTGCCCTCGCCGTGCTCACGTTTCCTCCGAGGGAGGGTGCTATGTCTGCTCTCGCCGTGCTCACTTCTCAGCAGAGGGAGGGTGCTATGTCTGCCCTCGCCGTGCTCACTTCTCAGCAGAGGGAGGGTGCTATGTCTGCCCTCACCGTGCTCACTTCTCAGCAGAGGGAGGGTGCTATGTCTGCCCTCGCCGTGCTCGCGGACTTAATGTCCGGCTCCTCCCGCGCTTAAGGGCCGGTTCTCAGAGCCAGTTTGGATGCTCTAGGGGTTGGTCACGGTCGAGTGACGAGGGATGGTGAACACTGCATCTTAGCCGGCTAGAGGCTATATACCTCCCTGTGGACAGTTCCCTTCACGAGAGCCCACCGTTTTTCTTTTTCGAAGAAAAACAGTGAGCAAGGGCAGTTCAAGGGCTTGACTTCGAGACGTAACTCTGCCGAAATGTGTCGTGCTCCCGTCAATGCACATGTCTGCGTCATCATGGCCGTCCGCTACCTATTGCCAGGTCACTGGCAGCTCGACACGTGTCGTGCTCCCGTCAGTGTACATGTCTGCGTCATCATGGCCGTCCGCTACCTATTGTCAGGTCACTGGCAGCTCGACATGTGTCGTGTTCCCGTCAGTGTACATGTCTGCGCCATCATGGCCGTCCGCTACCTATTGTCAGGTCACTGGCAGCTCGACATGTGTTGTGCTCCCGTCAGTGTACATGTCTGCGCCATCATGGCTGTCCGCTACCTATTGTCAGGTTACTGGCAGTCCGAACAGAAGTCACGCCCGTAAAGTATACACTGGCACCCATTGAATGTAAGATTATGGCGGCGGGCATGTCAGAGCAGTCAAAAAGGAGGGTTGTGCAACCAAGTATAAGAGCTTCCGAATGCGGGAGACGTATACACGCCCGTCTCAAGGCCATGCTGATCACCTTATTATTGATTGCATTATTACACAGATTATATATATATATATATGTAAATATATATATATATATATATATATATATATATATATATATTTATATATATATATGAATATATATACACATATATATATATATAGTCATACATTATTATATGTCATCATTCATTTATTATTACATGCTATTAGATATCACATCAGATTATTGTATATCATTATTGATTGCCCTGTTACACAGATTGCCTTTTACATGTATTATTGTCACATTTACCAGACGTTGAGCGCCAGAGGCGACAAGGCATGACAATGCGGCGTGACGGGCGCACATGGCGCCAAATGACCAGCTGTTCATTTGGTCATTAGAGCCTCATTGGTGGTTTATGTGCAGTAGGTATGTCGTTGAAGTATATGCAAGCAATATTTGATATCATGATGCAGGATGGTTCCAAGGCAGGGAAGGAATGAACGAATTTTGCTTTCAGCAAAACTGCGTGTCATATAAAGGTGGTCTTCTCGCCCTCTCGACAACCGGGGTACGCTTCTGTGCCCCCTTGTTACGCTCTAGTGTTACACTACTGATGCATCTCTTTTAAGCAAACAGTAACCACATTATACACTTATATAGCGTTTACATTTTTACGTTTTTCGGAACGAAAACGCATCACTTACCCTCTAAACATCATTGGGGAGGGGAGGGGGGCAGAAGCCGCCCACCACTGAGCCTCTAGACATCATTGGGGAGGGGGGGGGGGTAGAAACTGCCCACCCTGCTGCACGTTACCGTTCAACATGACATCACGCACGGAAGAGATATAGCGGCAGGTACGTTTTGCTTGTAGGCAGAACAGGATTATCCATTTTAGCATCAATGACGATCATTTCAGTCGCGTGACTCGCGGATACCACCTGCCTGTTGGGCAGTTTGAATGGCAGGCAGCTGGTGTAATTATGCGGCTTTCTGATGATCTTTCAATATATTTGTATGTTGGGCATTAATGTCCGACGTAGTAACATAATTTGTTTGTTTAGTTGCTGCTGTTATGCAGCGTGTGCGCATTTTTAAACTCTCTTGCAACAAATCGTGATATTTGCGAGGTTGTGGCTTTCGGGTAAAAAAAACTTAATCAATTTTGAACTCCAAACCGATGTCCAAATACTCTTACATCCCACGGAGCCAGCTTTTACCTTAATAATTCTGATTAGCTCCATTATTTTTTGTCGTGAATGTTTACTCGTCTTACATCCAATTGTGTATATCAAAAGATATCCTGGTCAACTGCCCACAGCTATATGAAACTTGGTCGGAAGTTATTTTGGAAAACTTGGGAAAGGCCCCCAACCGAGCGTATGTTAGCTTTTCACATTTTGTAGAGCACTGACCTTTGCTCGGAGAATAGGGCACCGTTGAGGATAGTATTGTTCTCAGCGTCCCTGCACCCGGTTTAAGTGTCCTTTCCTGCAGTGAATGTGTTTGGTCATAGATAACACTCCCATTTCAAAGGGCACCGCCATCTGATAATCCACACGTGCGCCGCCAGAATCTCCCCTAGCACATGTGTAAAATCCACTGATATCTAACAACCCCGGGCCGCCATATTAAGGGCTGTACTAATGCATGGCAGGTCAACTGGGGCCCCTCTTCAACGCCCATATTGTACGGACTGAGGGATTCGAAATTAAAGCAGTCACTCCGTGGGGCTTAGAGATGCCTTGCGGCAATCTAGCACCCTTTTGGATTGCCCTACAAATAAAGCCATGAGTATCTAAGATTACATAGCGTACATGTCCTTGTTTTGGCAATATTTCGAGTGCGGGACCCAGCATAAGGACATAAGGTGTGAAATCTACATCTATTATTTTTAAAGTCGTAAAGCGTGTGTACCTAAAGTGATTTTTGTGAAATCCATTTGGTGCACTGGATGAAAATAAATCTCAGACCGGCACCTAAACACGAAGGAAATATCTCATCTACCTATACTTGTTTAAAATCTTAGAGGTATATGCACCTTAATGATTGCTGACCGTGCTAAAATGTTTACGTTTTCATGGCAGATAGTTGTTGGTGTGAAGTTTCCTTAGCTCCGTGCAATATTCGCGTGTCCTTCGAACACGGCTACGCAAAAACGTAGATCGGTCACTCCAAAAAGCAATTTCACAGCGCGCACTTGGTCTCGTACAGGGGGTTGTGGTGTCTATGGCATTTTCGATTCTTTTCATGGAGTTTACCAATAAATTGGTTAATACCGTGGGTGCTATGAAATTTCTTGACGAAAACGGCCTTGTCATTAAAATATTCCTTGCGTGTCGCGACTCTCTAAAAAGACTCGCATTCCGTGGCATGATGAGTGTCACTTTGGTAGAAGAAATGCACTTTGTTCCCAAAGCATCAGCATTAATGCCCTCTCTCACATATCCAATTATTTTGTGCTTCAGCACATTCACTCAGAGCTTAGTTTAGAATGTACGGGTCATCGGCCGCATTCCTATGGGTGGATCTGTTCAGCTGGCGTGGGTCATCGCAAGTTGAACATTGTTATGGTCTTCTCTTAAATAGTTCAAAGCAACAATCAAGAATATTCATGGGCTCAATAGGAACAACTGTAGACAAGAGCATCTCGATGCTTGTTGACTAGGGAGACATGATGGCATCAACACCAGAGCGATCCGCTGCCATAGCCAAAAAGGTGTCTTGTTTGTATATAATCGCTCCTCTCCCGTTCAGTGCGATATTCTTGATATGACAGTCAGAGGTAGTTTGGTTCAGCAGGTGGAACGCAAATCTAGAGTCAAGACCGATGAGATGAGGTCGGGCGGAGGGAATCCAGCGCCGACCGCCTCGCTTAGATTATAGCCGACTGGTAGCTTTATTGCAAACAAAAATACCTCATAACTTGATTCTGACAGTTCTCAGTGCAATTACCCCAGAGGGCACTATCGTATTATGTATTCACGACTGGCCTTTGTGTGTTTTGTTATTTACTGAATGACTTTCTGTTTCAGTTAAACGTGCAAAGTTCATCGGACCGCAAGGTAAGAGGGCATCCATGCTTGAGAAAATGATTTCGATAATGAATAAAGTCACAAAAATATCCACTCTTTCCCCGTTTGTTTAGGTTGTGTCATTGTCCTGCCATGATTTAATTTGATTTCCAAGTTGGTGTTATCATTGTCGATGCCATGCATTCATACACCCATGTAAGTGTGATTGCTGCCTGCGCATCTCATTAAACGCACCAGAAGAAAGTTCCAGCACTACAAGGTTGCAGTGCTACATTCATTATGCCGTTGAAGAGTTCGTTGAGTTATGCTTAGGCATACACAGCCAAAACATTTAATGCCCGTGTGGAATGGTTGGAGCGAGGTGTTAGCACAGATGGAATGATTATGCAGACCATGGTCTCGTCAGTGGTGATGGTGTCTGCATAAAGTTTGGGCCGGTTACTCCTCCAGTCGTTGTCCGGTGTTGGTTAGTTCTGAAAGGCACCTGATGATGTTTGCTATACTCATGTGTGCATCACAACATCGAAAGTTTTCAATGGTCCAAACATCGAAACCACGATCTCGTGATTCATGCGCGTACATTACAACCGCCTCATTATTGGGAGGACAGCTAGTGACGCGTTGGAAACTCCGTTTGCTGGCCTGTGGAAATGTTGCAAAACCTGAAAATTGTATTTTTCAGTGCGTTTTTCTGTCAATGACGTACTCCATGTCGTACTTGCCGTCGTACTTGCCGTGCCGCTTTTTCACCCATCTGGTTCCCTCTGTGATCTCCTTCAGTCTGATTGATGTTGGGCAACATGTGTTGCCTTTTTATTATCTTCGATAGCTGCAGGGGATGTTGCATTCAGTTCTTCCTGTTATCCGTAGATGTCAGTGGTCTGACCGTGGTAAAGATTGGCGGAAGTGGCGCGTCGCTTCTGGAAATTGCTCCGACGTTGCTACCTTCACAGATTTTTCGGAGATCCTCCGACAGGTCTCTGCTGTAAGGAAGTGATGCTGTCGCGTCGCAGCTGTTTCTTTGGAATGTCTCAGCGAGATGTCCCTCCTTTTTCTTCCTTGTCCGGCCTCGCCATCGCGACGATGGGTGCAGCGCGCGATGTTGTAGGCCCCTGGCGATTCCTGTCTCGACATGATCCGGGTGGTAGGACGACATGATCCGGGTGGTGGGACTCGAAGCGACGGCACCGACCGACTGCTGTTGACTTACGCTGCACTGATGTGGCGAATACGTTCTCAGTCCTTTCCACCCCTGCGTCGAGGAGCAGCAACGCCTAGTTTGTCTCTTCCTCTGCGGTGAGCCCGATCGGCGTGCGCTGACCGATGACGTCATCCGGGAATGTGGTAGCGTCGCCTGGTGTTGTCCGGGGACGAGCGTGTCGTCAGCGTGCTGAAGTCACGCTGCTGGCGCGCATGGTGCCGTTTCAAGCGCTGCGTGCGCATGAGCGGGTACTGCATCTAAATGTTGGCAATCACTAGACACAACGGTGAGTTCATTGTCAATCGTTCCATCCGTTGGCATTCTTGGATGTCTAATTGGAAGGCTGTGGTGACTCAGCACGTGAGCAGCTCCAGGACGTCTGTTAAAAGAAGCTCCATGGCGTCTCCTCTTTTAGATGAAATGACGTCATTTTTAGCTTCTATTGGACGACAGATAGGACTTTATCTGCTGAATCGAAATCAGACATGGTTATACACCAAACACCTTAGGTCCTTCTCAGGACCGATAACCCACAGCGCCCGAAGAAGTAACCTTTCGAAACGAGTTGTAAGTCATAACACCGCTGTCGAGGATACATCGATTGATAAGTCCAACAAATTGCGATTCCATCTGCAGTTAACAGATATTGTGCGGCGACGCCGTTTTCGATGTCGCACGATGATGATAATGATGATGATGATGATGATGACGATGATGATGGTGGTGGTGGTGGTGGTGGTGGTGGTGGTGGGGTTGGTGGTGGGGGTGGTGGAGGTGGAGGTGGTGGTGGAGGTAATGGTGGTATTTGTGGTAGTGGTGGTGTTGGTGATAATGAACTGTGATGGATGATGGGACTTTCTTATCACAACGTGGCTAAAACTTCATGCTACACCCTGTTAATTGGCAAAAGGCAACGATAATTCAAAAGGATGTGTTGTACGCGGATGCCAAGCATTCCTACCATACCAGACCTTCGCAACTTCGCACGCAGACTTGATTTCAGCCTGCAGTAACCTGGCGACCTGTTTCAGCAAACCAGCTCAGCACGTACGTCACCCTGAAATTGCAGCATGTCAAATCAACGACGGTCACTGTCAAGGGAGCCGAGCCCTGCTGGGAGCAAGACTTCCTGTTGTAAGTCGCTTCTACTGTGCCGTCACACCATGGAGGTTACACCCCCGTCCATCGCCAGCGTGAGCTATGTGTAACATGCAGGAGTGCATCACCACCGTGATTCGATTTTGGCTTCAGATAAGCTGCGACAGCTTCCAACGTACTTGAAAACGCGGTTTTAAGTCCGCTACGCGGCTGACAGCCATCCGTAACTAACAGATGCACGTAACTAACAGGTGCACATCGGACCATGCACATTAAAGCTGAGGACTCGCTGCAATTTCATATTCGAATCTGGTTTGGGAGGCTTGCAGCCGTGATTCGGATTCGGGATTGGCACATATTCGGATAGGCACAATATATCCGAATATCTGCATCGATATCCCAGCACTCTGATGTCGTGTAATTAAAGGGAACATTTCACATTTGAAGATAATGAAGCAAGCATCAGATATAATTAAACAAGCTCACATATGGATATTGGTATACTTTTTAAATGGAAAAGGGGGCTCTAGACAGCATAGTTCTCTGGTAAATATGCTTCTCGATACGTCATGGTTTGATAATGTCATCGTACCTTGCACAACATTGATTGAGAGCCATTGGACGGTGGTTATATCTGGAAGTCGCGCTCACGAACTCCAGATATGAACGCCTCGACAACTGTATTTTTCTTGGCCTCGATCGCCGCATGGCTTATGGAATGGCAGGATTTAAATAACGTCATTATGACGTCATGAATGCCAAGGTAACTTTGAAACACTCCCCGCGATATATCTTTCCTCATTTCCGCTGGCGTGCCGGTCAGAAACTGGGGGGAGGGGGTTTAGGTCTTAAGAGGGGAAGGATTTTGAACAGCGCGAAAAGGTCTTCAAGATTGTTTTTCAGTTTAAAACCCAAACAATTTTGGAACACTCCGTATAGAATTTGTTAACTGATTTTATTGATTTCTGGCCGACTGTTTTCAATGCTTATACAATTGGTCATTTCTAATGGTACAGTAAACAGCGAAACATAGTGGTCGCAAGGAAACACCAGTAACCATAGCAACTGAGTTTGGCAATAATCTATATACTATATAAAAACGTGGCATCGACGAATCCGTTCGACATGGACAGACACATGTGTGTTGCATCTAGTTTATATAAAGATATGAGCATAAATAATATTTTAGTGTCTTTATTTGCACTTTCAAATGATAGCTTCCAAGGTTCGACAGCAGTGTTTGGATTCTAAGCCTAGTTTCTAGGGTTTAAATCCTTGCTTTGTCGGTTCAAAAACTCGCAAAAATCAAACATGTTTGAATTTGTTAGAACGCTGCGAATTCGAAACTTCAGCTCAAGCGCACACTCACGGCCCTAGACGTGGCGCGGCTGTAACACCAGACACCTGGCACGACTCTGGACGTGGCGCGGCTGTAACACCTGACACCTGGCACGACTCTGGACGTGGCGTGGCTGTGACACCTGACACGGCCCTAGACGTGGCGTGACTGTAACCCCTGACACGGACCTGGACTTGGCGCGGCCGTAACACCTGAAACGGACCCGGACGTGGCGTGACTGTAACACCTGACACGGGCCCGGACGTGGCGTGACTATAACACCTGACACAGTCCTGGACGTGGCGAGGGCGCTGCGACAAGCCGTCACCGGCTGCCCGCGTCGCAAGCGGAGCCGATGGCGGCCGGCGGAGGCTCCGCGTGACCGTGTCGTCTCGTGCCGCGCAGTGAGACCGAGCAAATGGACACCGGCCTGCTGGTCGAGGTCTGGAGCAAGGGCCTGCTGTGGGACAAGGCGCTCGGCTACACGTGGTTGCCACTAGTGGACGTCCAGTACTCAAACGAGGTGAGTGAGCTCCACCAGCCGACGGCGTTCAGCCTGTCTCCAGCTGACAGTGACCTGTCGACAACCGATCAGCACAGCGGTGCGTTGATGTCTTTTGACGAGGCTATCCCTTTTGAGCGCCTATGAAATCCTTGCTTATCGTCGTTTGCCTGGGTCTAACAGGGTACTACACGTGCAGGATTGTAAAGCTGTTTTGACGCAGTACTTTGATTAGTCAATTTGTACAGGTGGTGCGGGCGGTGGACATGCATCACAGTTGGTGAAATACTTGGTTGTATCACATATACGATCGCAGTGAGTTATAACGAGTCCATTACAGTTAGAAGTTAAAACCCAAAACTGGCCAAAGCTTCCAGCGTCACTTTGGTTTCTACCACCTCATTGTATTGGCTGCAATTCAGAAGATATCTTATCAATAAAGAAAGCTTATCTTGTTAAGAAAGTGCTACATGAATATCAGGTTCCCATACTATGTAATAAGTTAACTAAAAATTATAGTTGTGGCGTAACGAATGTAACAATTATAGGGGATAATGATTGCTGGATTTATTTCAAACCAAAATGAATAACCTGTCTCTCGACGCCAGTGTGTTCCTGTCTTGAAAAGTGTTGAAAAATCTGGAGTTGCTGGGGTCCCCTGCCATCGAGCTGTTTGAGGTCGTCTGCTTCAATTTCATACGTCAGTTCGCGGCCAAATGGTGCCAGGCCGGCGGTGTCGCCGCTTACATCGCCGATGGCGAGAGCGGCCGCGCGCAGCTCGTGTGGGACTCGCCTCCGCGGCGTCAGGCTGGCCTCGATTTGAGCCCCCCCCCCCCCCCCCCGCCCTCTCACCTGCTCCGACTGAGCAGCGAGCGAATCCTGCCTGTCCACTGGCGACCATCTCACGGTCACCTGTGGGCTGTAGCAGGGGACCTTACCGGACCGCAGCTGCACTCAGTGACGGCCGAGCGCCTGTTGACGGTGTCACGGGCTGCGTCTCACTTTCCTGCCCCAATCAAAGTTGATAAAACAGCAACTACGTCCCGTCATCATATAGTTGAGGATCTTTTGCCACATAATGAACACAATGCTCGACATAGGTACTGCAGTCGTAAGGAAGCACTGTTCTTGATTTTACTCCTGACCATGCTTGACCCACGCAAAGTCACGGTTCCCAAAGCTCTTTGCGTTTTGATCAGAACTATAGGGATAATCTAGTAATGGGCTTGGTACGTCCGTAGGAAGTTTATTTCGTCTCATAACTAAGATGAGATGGGGCTGCCAGGCCTTCCCAGTTCAGGATATTGAAGGCTCTTTCAGGGACTGGAGGTCTGGGGGCCCTGTACTTAATGTTTGAGGTACTGAAGGTCCTGTCGAATAAATGCAAGATATTTGTTCTAAAGCATACGAACCAACAGTGGCGTGCCCCATGGTGCACCATGCTTACTGCATGATTGATCTGTGGTCCATTAGCACGCGGAGCCAAAGTGAATAGTAAACGCGTCTTTCACGACCTCCAGCATTCCTGCGTGAATCAGATCAGCTGGCGCCAGCGCCCGCCTCGCCACGTGCGTGGCGCGTGGATCTGGCTTTCTCTGCAGCGAGTCGCGACTAGTTCACCCCCTGGAGTGCAGTCTGTGCAGGCCACAGTTTGTGCAGACCAAGCTGCCTGGCCGCGCCAGGTCCGTGTCCTGAACTGCCCTCTGAGCGGGATGGCGTCCGTGGGCTTGTGCAGACCATGCTGCCTGGCCGCGCCAGGTCCGTGTCCTGAACTGCCCTCTGAGCGGGACGGCGTCCGTGGGTTTGTGCAGACCATGCTGCCTGGCCGCGCCAGGCCCGTGTCCTGAACTGCCCTCTGAGCGGGACGGCGTCCGTGGGCTTGTGCAGACCATGCTGCCTGGCCGCGCCAGGCCCGTGTCCTGAACTGCCCTCTGAGCGGGACGGCGTCCGCGGGATTAATGAGGCCGCAACGTCCCCCGGGCCTCATTGCTGCGCGCGGCGTTGTTCGGTGCATCTGCGACCTGGCTCGGCCCGGCCGGCGGCGTGGGTGGCTGGACCGCAGCGGAGGCTGCGGACCCGGCGCGCCTCCGCCTACCGCCGGTCCCCACAGCGGCGGTCGAGCCTGAGCGCACTGCTCGCGCCTGTTCCCGCGCGCCAGTCACGGTCACCATCTCAGTGTGTCGGGCCGCGCTCGGGTCGAGAGGAGGCGGAGCCGTCGCGCGGGTAACCGGCCCGGTTCATTTCCAGCGGCGGCAGTGAGAGCCGGTGACACGTCACGCCCCCAGTAGACGCCTCGTTAGGAGCAGTCGCCGGGGTAACAAGGTACCGTGCGTACGCCCCGTCCGGTGTAGACAGCGTTTGCTAGAGGTAGAGGGGTCTGGTTTGGAATGATATTATCAGGTATGGAGGTCGGCAACATGCTACTGTTGTTCGCTCCGGGTAGACAGTCGTCTTAGCAGCTGAGATTGGGACCTTACAGCCTAGCATAGTGCAAATGCACCGAGAGGGTCACTTCCTGAACACACATCGCCCCAGTCAACTGTGGACTGGTTAGACCGGTTCTAGATCACCGTACCAGTAACGCAGGGTCTGGCACCCTGTTAGCAAGGCACTAAACCCCCTAACAAGCGGGACTTCCGCACCTTACTCGGCTTTCAACGCATGCAGGTATCAGACGTCAATGCTGCGTTAGCAGCCGGTGTTGCTTGCGCGATGCGTAGATGGTGGCGATGCAATGCACCAGGCAACGAGTCGCCGGTCGTAGAGCACGCTAGCAGCGGACTTGCGTAGTCTGGTGAACCTCAAATCGTGGCTGACAGTCGGGAACCCCATGACGTGCTTCACAGTAGCTGACAACAGGCAGAGTGTAGGGTACTTTGCTGGCACTGACCGACCAACTCCGCTTTGGGAGACGACTTGGAAGAATCTTGCGACTGAACGCACGGGAAATAGAGACCTGCTCACCCCAATCAACTCGTTGATGCACCGCAACAAGTTGTTACGGAAAGTGCTCCCAGTTCCGAACACCTGCGCTTGCTCTCAGTACAACTATTGCCTGAAGCACACTTTGACTGGCGTCCCTGAAACATATAGGAGTATCCTGTATGTAAATACATTTGATAAAAAGACAAAATTGCTATTGCCAAAAAGCCCCATGCTATGTAGTCCGTTTGAAACCGAGCATCCGGCATTTGGATGTTATGGGCGTTTGCTCTTATGAAGGCGTCGTTAACTAATGGCTACCTTTTGCACGGAGGTCCAGATATTACAACGGCAAGCAGCTCCATGGGATAACGCCTCCTAATTAGCACTTCAGCGAGGACGGGCATGGCAGTGGCGTTCTTCAGTATTTGCATTCAGGCACGCCAGCGGCGGACGTGTCAACGACACACTTTTCACAATAAAGCCACAGCTCACGGTCAGTGAGCTCGGTCAAAGACTCGGCCCTGCTGAACAGTGGCTCTGCAATGCAGTCAGCTCGTTACTGTTCTGGACCCGCTGGGAGGGCAGGGGGGGGGGGGGACGCTCACGTGCTGTCCAGGGCCGGGCCGGCCGCCGGGATTAACGCCGGCTGCCCACAGCGCGATCGACCCCAGCATTCGCTCACGGAAGCGGCCGATTGTGAACGCTCGGGCCGAGGGGCCGGCCGCCAACGTCGCCATCGCGGCCCTGAAGACGACACTGGTGCTGTGCGCCAGAAGCCACCGCGGCAGTGTCAGGGGTGTCAGCTGACGTTGGTGTGTCGGGACGACGCTGTAGTGTCAGGGGTGTCAGCTGGCGTTAGTGTGTCAGAGACGACGCTGTGGTGTCAGGATGCCAGCTGACGTTGGTGTGTCAAAGACGATGCTGTGGTGCCAGGGATGTCACCTGACGTTAGTGTGTTGGAGACGACGCTGTGGTGTCAGAGTGCCAGCTGACGTTAGTGTGTAGTGTGTGTTAGTGTCACTTGACGTTAGTGTGCAGTGTCAGGGATGACGCTGTAGTGTCAGGGATGTCAGCTGACGCTGGTGTTTCAGAGACGACGCTGTAGTGTCATGGATGTCAGCTGACATTGGTGTGTCAGGGACGACGCTGTAGTGTCAGGGATGTCACCTGACGTTGGTGTGTCAGAAACGACAAGGCAGCGTCAGAGACTATGTCACTGCTGCGTCAGAGGAACATCAACACCATGTTGGAAGCCATCACTGCAAAGCCTGAGAGGGAGGGCAGGGGGGGGGGGGGGTCGCCGCGGCATCAGAGAAGCCTGCTGTGTCATTGTGGTGACAGGAGGAATCACTGTAGTGACGCACGTCTCTTTCCAAGTGTCAAGAGATTTCCACTCCGGTCCAAGGATCTCACCGTGTCTGTCCAGTTGGCTAGGTTCCGGGTACGTTCTCAGGAAGGACTGGCCAGCCAAACAATCAAGTGGATACCTGGCTATTACAAGTGGATACAGTGCTGGAAGCGGCCCTAAAAGTTACTCGAACACGGATCAAATACGCTGCGATGTATCTTGGTGGAGCAACTGCCACACGGTGTACTGTGTATGCCGAGTTGGCTGCACATTTCAACGGCGGTGAAGTTTGAGCGCCGACGCTGCCCTCCAGCTGTGAACAGTGATCAGCCGCAGGTGTTGTGCGCATGGTCTGCACTGTTGGCGAAGGGGCGGTGACAAATCGCCCAATTGCAAATCTCTTCAGGGTGGGTCGGCGCTGAGTGAATGGGACCTAAACTGGACCATCGCTAGGCTGGGGCTGCTTTCAGGAATCCGAAAACACTGAGTCAAATTTGTCCGCATTCTGCTTTTTATCGTAGGGCTCCTTCGTCCTGTGTTTTTAATAACTGATCTTATTTATACTGCACCAGGTCACTCAAACATGTTCCCTCTTAAAGGCTTGCATGGAGAAAGTTGAAAAACTGGCACCAGCCGCTTCAATGACCAGGGTATATGTCGCGTTCCAAAGTAAAATGCCAGCACTGTGAGCTCGTTTACGGCCACGACACTACGTGGGTTCAAATTACGCGAATGGTGTCCATATTTC